TATCAATATATATTTAATATAAGATACAACAGGACAAACTGATATATATACTATCAGCAAAATACCCGCCATAAGCATGAGAGGACTGGCATGACACTTGCACTGATGCCAGGCCCTGAAATTCCATGTCACTAAAACACTCTAGAACTTGGTCACTTTATAGAATTTGCCTCAATACTTACTTGTCAAAGAGACGACAGGCAGGTTGTCGTGGCATGGGCAATCGTAATTCAAACTAATCAACCCTTCCATTTTCATTAAATGAAAACACATAGGTGATTATGTGGAATATTTCATTCAAGATGGTTGTTTTAGGGGCTTAAATATTTGCTTTAAATTATCCTGAATTAGAATTAGATTCCGTTATGGGCGACCGTGAAGGTTCCACTGGGAGTGAACACTGTCTATACTGAATAATCATGTTTACATGAAAAGACTAAAGTAATTAAACAAACATAAACCTAAGAAGTCGTTCCTATAATGTACACCTATCCATGCCTCTCCCTCCTCCCTCTATTTATGCCATACGTATATTCATATATCAAATCATATCATTATATATATATATATATATATATATATATATATATATATATATATATATATATATATATATATATATATATATAGATATATATATATATATATATATATATATATATATATATATATATATATATATGTATCGCTCCCAAAATCTAGACAAGCATCGAAAGCTGGCAGGGCGGACGGTCGCATATTTTGGAAGCCCAGGCCGGTGACAAGTGGTCACGGACGCGTTGCGTAACCAATGACGTCACGAGCGCCCATCCGAGCTGCGCCCTGGAAGACGTCCTCGTGTTTACGGACCTTCGCCAGGCCCTTTAACGATCTATACGGAGCGGGAGGGCGGGCGGAGGGGGGGGGGGGTTAGAGGGGCGAAGGCAGGGTCTGGCGCCAATGCAAGGACGGGGGAAAAGCATGAAGGGGTTGTCAGTTTAGGAGGAAAAAAGAAGAAAAAAAAACTATCTTATGAAACATGCTTCTCGTCTTAAGTAGGTCATGAAAATACCCTCTCTTGCCTGTCATATTAGATGGGAAATGCCATTCTTATGAAAGTCACGGGGTACAAGCCCATATCGCTGGCGTGCAAAGGACACTGGTATTACAAACAGTGCAACAGCCAACCCAGACATGAATGGAAGTGTAACAGAGAACTGCGTTTTATTATTTCAATGGATTAATCTTTTTTCAGCGGATCACTATTACTACGCGAAATCCTGTCTACGCAGGGAAGACGGGAAGGCCTAGAGATGATCCCGAACATCCCCCCCCTCGCGATGAACATTCCCATTCCCATTCCTCCTCCCTCCGAACGCACGGCAGCGATACCAGGGGTCGCGAGCTGGGGGAGCATTGCAAAGCGCGAAGGGCATGTCCAATGTCGGCGGCGGCAACCCGAGTGTGTTACGTAACGACGAAAGTCGCTGCCAAGAAAGCGCCGACGGACACCATAGCAACACCTGCTCGAAAGTCTTCGCGCGGCCTCGACACCGCTGACACCGTTCCCGCGGCTCCCTCCGGCGTCGCGGGGCTTGACACCGATTCATCCGCTTGGCAAAGTCTACCGAAGGAACCAAAACAAATTGAAATTCGTGTTCAACACAACGCAGCTTAGGTATCAGGACATATGGCCATGGGAGACAGGTGGGAGGGAGGGGGGTAGGAGAAGAGGGAAAGAGATGGGGAGGGGGAGGGGGTGAGAGAGAAGAAAGAGGGAGAGTGGGGGGGGGGGAAAGAAGTAAAGGAAGAGTGAGAAAGGAGGGAGAGAGAGGAAAGGAGAGGGAAGGGAGAGGGAAGGGAGAGAAGAGAGGGAGGTAGAGAGGAAGAGAGAGAAGGGAGGTAGAGAGGAAGGGAGAGAAGGAGGGAGGTGTGTATGTATGTATGTATGTATGTATGTATGTATGTATGTATGTATGTATGTATGTATGTATGTATGTATATATGTATATATATATGTATTATATATGTATATATATATATATATATATATATATATATATATATATATAGAGAGAGAGAGAGAGAGAGAGAGAGAGAGAGAGAGGGGGGGGGAGAGAGATGGATAGACACAAAGAGAGACAGATGGTTAGATACACACAAGAGCGAGAGAGACGTATGGATAGAGGGACGATAAGCAGACACGAATAGAAGGACGAAAGAAAAACAAAGATACAGGGATGAGACAGATAGATAGATAGCTGGACAGAGATGCGAGATGGATTTTCATACAAAACCATTAAACGCAATTTAATCAGATGATAGAGCAACGCGAGACGAGAGTCGGCGCGCCGCCCTGGATAGCGCTCCCACGTGCCCGATGGGCGTGGGCTGCAGCATAGCACGCGGGCGGGATAGGTGACACGAAAACCGGGAAAAAATCGGCCGAAAAAATGTTAGCGGGCTGAGATAAGAATAAAATGACGATTGACATTAAGAAGAGGGCGAGAAAGGGCAGAGGAAGGGTCAACCGCACCTCGCTGCCAGGGTGGGAACGAGCGGATACGTGCAATAGCGGCAGTCGGCGGAAGTGAGACTATGCGCGCCGCATTCCACCTATTGCAACGCTCCTGGAACAATTACCAAAAAATCTAAAACGTTCAGGTAATAACCGATTTAAAATAGGTGTATGCGTAACGGTATCAGACAGCACCGCCCATGTCTGAATGTTCAAGAGGACTTCAGGAAAGGTTGATATTCCCAGAACAATCCTCGAGGCAGCAAGCAAGATCCAGCGGTCAATGAACGCTGTAGTTTCTCTTCCTCTATCTGTTACGTTTAAGGTTACCTCATAAGACCTGTTCACCTTTCCTTGTCTGTGTCCCAGCCCGTCAGGTTGATCGCTTTGGTGGTGGTGGAGTTTGTGGAGGAGTTGGTAGGGGTGGGGAAGGGGGTAAAGGAGAGAGGTTGGGGGGAAGAGGGTAGGAGAGAGGTTGGGGGGAAGAGGGTAAAGGAGAGAAAGAGGGAGAGGGTAAGAGGGTAAAGAGTTGGGGGGAAGAGGGTAAAGGAGAGAGGTTGGGGGGGAAGAGGGTCGCGCTTTGGGGGCCTTTTTTTTTATCGTCGACAGCGCTCCTTCTCCGTATCCGAATCGGTCTCTCCCCCCTACATGCGGGCTTATCGATCCCCTGCGAGTGACCTCGATCTGCCGAAAGACATCCTTCGCCTATCCTACCTGCCACGCGATTTACGGGTCCAACGCAGGCCGGTCGGTGAAAGTGAAATCCGGACGCATGCCAACGCTCATTTGCTTTTATGATGCCGATGACGCTACGATTTCCGGGCGAGGTTTGTGAGGGGGAAAATTGTTGCGATTACGAGCTAAATTGCGCCGATGAGCGACAGGGAGATCAGAGGGTATGGCGGGGCAAGTGGGGGATCTGCAATGCATTCGGAATGACGAGACAAAGGATGGGAAAGGGCATTAACACAGACGATGAGAAGGATACGGGGGGCATTCTTCCTTCCTGATTCTGAAAAAGAGAACTTCTGCAGGCTGCAGCGAGATAAGGAGGGCAGAGACAATCGACGCGGAGGCACTGTGGCACACATACCCGTCTGGCCTGCCCCTAGTGTTGCCAGCACGTGCACCGGCACCGTGGCACCACGAGACCCCGGGCGGGTACGCGTGCCAGCAGACCATGTGAGCCTGACAAAGGGGTGCCAGCTCGACCCTCTCCGTTCGCAAACCCCGAAGGACATGTAATTGCCAAGAGGTGTGGCGCTGCCGCAAAGAAGTGGGTTCTATGCTACATCGTTTCTACGGCACCGTGGGCAGAGGAGGGTGCGGCGACGAAGGCCGGCCGAACTGCCAACGAAGGGGAGAGTGGCCGCGAAGACAAATATGGCAACACAGCCGGCCGGGAGGTTAGGAGGCACTCCGGCCGCAGTGTTACCACGTCCGCGCCGTGCCCTCTCCCCTGCCTCCCCGCGCTGTTCCCACACAATGCGATTGCCCTCGTGCCCCGCTCCCGCCGCCCGTGCCCGAGGGCGCTAGCCACGGAAGCGGAGCCATGCACGAGGGCACGACGTGGCGCATGAGGATGTGGGAGAGCCAGAATGACGTGCCCTATAACCCCTCGTGACCTTGACTCGCGCGAGTTGCCGGCTGCTCCTGCTCCAACCCGTCTTTCCGCCCGCCTACTTGACATTTATATGGCACGCTCATGCCACCAATGCCAGTGTCAGAGTCAGTGCCGTGGCAGTGTTGCCACTCAAATAAAGTTGGCACTAATTATGTGACTCACGATCAGATGGCGTCTCTTACGTCAGTTTAACAGCACTGCCCATTAGTAATGCCTTAAGTCACCGTAGCCGTGTCTTCGGGAATACGCAGAATAATGGCATTTCGCACAGCCTCGCTGGCAATTTCTTGCTATAGTTCGCACGATGATATCATGCACTTAAGCGGAGGAGAGAAGCAAACAACGCAGCGCGGACCTACCTACGCAAGGCACTCACTGTTCCGGGTTAGGCGGTCTTTAAGTACAACTCGATAGGGGGAGGAGGAGGAGGAGGAGGAGGAGGAGGAGGAGGAGGAGAGAGAGAGTGAGGAAGAGCGAGAGAACGAAAGCATTCGCTCATACATATATAAATAAATAAACAAATAAATTAATAAACGAATTATCTTCACGGCAGTGATAGCTGACGCGTTTTATTCTTTGTCGTAGTCTCCCGATAACAGTTTCCGGCAACACCAAAGCATATCTCAATCATAAACTCCAGCTTGCAGCTCGTGAGCAACACGCAACGTGAAAGAACTATGGGGTTCGATTCTGGCGTATAAAATTAGGATCCCTCGGCGCCACGCGATCGCGACCCCGTCATCTGGCAAGGCAATAACGAACGTTGCAGACGCAATGGAACGCAACTGCAGCTCCTCCTCGCTCTAAAGCAATGTCAAGACGCATATGGAGCCGACGCAAGCACGGGCAAATGCTATTATAGCGAAGACGAAGTCTTACCTTGGGTGGTGGCCGGCGGGCGAACCTGTTGAAGAACCATCGGATGCAATCCATCGTTTGTGTGTGTGTGTCAGAAGCAGAGACAGGACAGAGAGAGGTGTGGGTGTGCGGTGGCTGTGGCTATAGTTATGGCTGTGGGTGCTGTGGGAGCAGCAGGCTGGTGTGGATGTCACAGAGGGGCAGCGCACACTGAGCCAGGCGGGCCACGAACACGCCGCGGGAGAAGCTCAGCGTCGCCTCACCACCAACTGCCCCTCCTGCCGCCGCCACCGCCAACAGCTACA